TATTTATTAATAAGTGTTCATATCACGTTTAATTATTATTATTATTTTTTTGTAAAAATGGAAAACGAATCATTGACGAGGGATAAAGTGAGTCATTGTAATTCGGTTGTTTGTTTGTTGATGAATATTTTAAGAAAAATTTTTATGTTATTATTATGTTTTACAGGTAGTTTACAAAATGGATGCTGAAAAAGAAATAACAAAAAATAGAAAGAAAAAAATGGTTTTGGTACAGGTGAGTTGTTGTTTTTCATTTTGTTTTTGGTTTTGATTATGTTAAATTTTATAATTAATGTATATTTTTGTTACAAAACAAACAGGTTTCATTTGCACTCATAGCTAATTTAATAGCAATTGCACCTGGTATGAATTTAGGATTTTCTGCTGTTGCTTTACCCTCTCTCTTAAACCCCAATTCAAGTTTTCATGTCACTGAAGAAGAAGCAACATGGATTGGTAAATATGATTAAAATGTTTTTACCTTTTGCTGTAGTTAAAACAAAAATGTAATTGTTCCATTTTCTTTAGCCAGCATTGCTTCCATATCAACTCCTTTTGGTTGCATATTAACTGGATCAATATTAGAACAATTTGGAAGGAAATCAACACTTTTATTGGTTAATTTTCCATGCATTTTAGGTTGGCTTTTGATAGCTTTTGCACAAGGGGATTACACATTGATAATGATTTATGCAGGAAGATTTTTCACAGGTTAAACAACCTTATAAACATTAATTTACCTGTTAAATGTTTGTTTAACAACTAATAATTATCATCATCATCATCATTATAATTTTTAGGATTAGCCACGGGTATGTCATCTGTACCTGTAACAGTTTTTTCAGCAGAAATATCTTCTGATTCGTTACGTGGAATGTTTATAACATGGACATCTTCATCCATGGCTTTAGGAATATTATTAATATATATATTAGGTTATTTATTTCAAGATAATTGGAGGTTGATGGCCGGTCTTAGTGCTATGTAAATGTTATCATTATTATTATTATTTTTCGAAGTGCGAGGAAAAAATAATAATAGTAATTAAAATTAATTAATTTATTTATTTATTTTTCAGATTACCGTTCGTATCGTTCATAATGATATTCGCATTTTTAGTCGAAACACCCTCTTGGCTTTTATCAAAGGGAAAATTAGAAAAAGCCGAAAGGAATTTTAAAATATTAAGAGGAGTAGCGAAAAATTCAGAAATGCCAACTGTCGTATCAAACGAATTTGAAATAATGTCAAAAAAATATAAAATTGATAACAAAGACAATCATAGTAACGAAAAGAAAAGTATATTGAAATTGTTTTTCAGAAAGGGAGCCATTAAACCATTTATTATAATGAATTTATTTTTCTTTTTCCAACAATTTTCCGGGATATTCGTTGTTATTTTTTACGCAGTACAAATAGTTGTAGAATCAGGAGTTTCATGGGATCCGTACCTCATAACGATTTTAATAGGGATTTGCAGGTTACTCGTCACCGTTTGCATGGGTTACATTTGTAAAAGATACGGACGAAGACCACCGTCGATAGTTTCCGGTGCTGGTATGACGATATGCATGGCATGCCTTGCAACTTATTTGTTTCTTTCCGACACTGGACAAATATCGGAGGAATGGTCAGGTTTCGTCGATTGGATTCCAGCAGTCAGTTTGATTTTGTTCATATTGACGAGCACGATTGGATTCCTAACGCTCCCGTGGGCAATGATTGGTGAAGTTTTCCCATCGGACGTCCGTGGTTTCGCTGCTGGTCTCACCGTGTGTTTCGCTTATATATTTAATTTTATCATCGTAAAAGCTTATTCGGACATGAGAGATGCTCTATCATCTTACGGTGTATTTTTCTTTTACGGAGCTTTTTCCGTTTTCGGTACAATATTTGTTGTTTTATTCTTACCGGAAACTCAGGGTAAAACACTTTTAGAAATCGAAGAATATTTTAGTAGAAAGAAAAGTAAAAACGATAATCCGAGTTAGTTTTATTATACCATTCATCACAATCGCCATATTTTCATTCATTCATTCATTCATTCATTTTTTTTATTATAGACAAAATAAAAATTTTATTAAATGTGCCATATATTTATAAATAAATAAAATCACGTGACCGCGTTAATAATTACGTCGTTAAAAATCACAAATAATATTTATTTGTTAATATTTTTATTTAAATAAAAACTTGACTTTCTCATCACTTTCTTTTTATAATTATCATTTTTATTAAAATTCGAATATTTAATTGAATTTATGTATTTCATAATAATTATTAATGTTGTTATTAAAAAAAAAAGTGAATAATAATAATGACACAAATTTTAATATATAAAAAAATTATATTAAAAATAAAAACAAATTTTTTATTTAATTTTATTATGTATATTTTTTCAAAACTCGATGATTAAATTTTTTCTTGTACAAATAATAATAATAATAAATAATGTATACTAATAATACAAGTAGAAGAAGAAGAAGAAATAATAATAATAATAATTGATGTTTTTCTCTTTCGAAAGGGCAAAATAAGAAAAACTTGTACCCGCGTGTAATTTTTTTTTTTTTTTTTTTTCGATTAAGTACGAAACAAATTTTTTTTTTATAAAATAATATATATTTTATTATACAAACGAGTTTTCGATTTGTCGTTTGTCGTTTGTCTGAATATAAAATTATTTTTTTGAAAAAAAAATTTCATTTAATTATAATTTAAAATTTAAAATGGCGAAGATGGGAAAAAAAAAAAAATTTAAACGTTTTAAAATAATTTTTTTTTTTAATTATTATTATCATTATTATTATTATTATTATTATTATTATCATTATTAAATATTAAAAATATTATTTCAGGTTTGTTCTTTTAATTTTTTATATTTAATTATCTAAAAAAACTCGTTTGTAATTTTTTTTTTTTGTAATGGCGCATGCTCAGTTTTTTTGTTTTGTATTATCACTTTTGTTTATTTAAATTTTTTTTTTGTTTGTTATCTTTTACCTTTCTAATGTTTCTATTTCAAGATTTTCATTTTTATTTATTTCGTACAAACGTTACAAACAACAAACAACAACAACAATGTTTACGTTTAATTTACCGTAACGCCAAAAATTTTTTTTTTTTTTTGTTAAATTTACAATACTTACGAAGAAAAGGAATTTTTTATTTATGTATTTATTTTTTAATAAATTATTAAAACGTAAAAATAATAATAATAATAATAATAAATTAAAAAGTTACATAATAATAATAATAATAAAATTGTAATAAAAAATGTAATAATTTCACCATTAGATTAACAATTCAACTGAGAGTGAATGAGTGAGTGAGTGAGAAAGAGAGAGAGAGAGAGAGAGAGAGAGAGAGTTCTGGAAGGTCTACTTCTTTAGGTATCAGGTAGATGAAAAAAAAAAAACTGGAAATATATTATTTATTTATTTATTTTCCGGTGATCAGTTTCCGCGACATTTTTATCACATCCGTCAAGAATCCGTTTCTTCAAACAACTACCATAATTTTAAAAAAAATAAATAAATAAAAGAAGATAAATAAAAAAACAAATAGTTTATTATTTAAATAAGAGTAAACGTGACTTTTTTTTAAAATAAATAAATAAATAAATAGTTTTAATAAATTAATAAAATGCGTGAAATTTTTTTTTTTTTTAAATAAACTCTTTTCGGATTATTATTATTATTAAAAAAAGTTTTTTAAAAGTTTTAAAGTTTTTTTTTGTTATTTTATATTTCTTGTAAAATTAATAATAATCATGTTAAACGTTGTTATTATTATTATTATTTAGGAAAATTTGTGACGTTTCATGTTTAAAGAGTAAAAATCAATTGTAAGTACAAAATAATAAAAAAAATTTTTTTTTTTTTCAATAAATACATAAAAAAACTTTTTATTTAATCGATATTCATATTGTACGTTTATTATTATATTTGTTAATTTTATTATTATTATTGGTATTATTATTATTAATCGATTATTTTAAGAATTTTGCTTTAGAAAGTTCTAGAAAAAATAAGAAAAAAAAAAACAGTAAAAAAAAAATAAAATTTTACGCCTTAAAAATATTGTTTAGATTTTTTTCAATACAACAACAATTTAAATAATTTTTTTTTTTTGTTTTTTAATTTTTAAATGTCTTGTTTTTTTTTTTTTTAAATCGGTAATAGTAATAATAATGATAATGATAATAATAATAATGATTTTTTTTTTTTACGTTCACGGTAGCCAAATTACCTTTTTATCGGCCTTCAAAATCGTTATTTTAAATAGTACAAGATCATATATATGTATATTTTATTATTATTATCATTATTATTATTATTATTATTATTATTATTATTAATATTATTATTATTATTATTACTGCCAACAAATACGTATCTGTAACGGCGACATTTTCTTTTTTTTTTTTTTTTGCTATTCAAAATGGAAAATTTTAATTTTTTTTTTTTTTTTTTTGAAACCAGATTACAAGAAATAAACGAAAAAAAGCAGACGACAAAAAAAAAAAAAAATTAAAAATCAAAAGGGGTGAGATAATAATGATAATAATATTACCGGAATTATTATTTAATATGGAGTAGGTAGTAATTTTATTCACCTTGAACTTCTTTCTTTTTTTTTTTTTTTTTTTTTTTGTAAATGACATTGACTAACGATATAAACCGAATTATTATTATTATTATTATTATTATTATTATTATTATTATTATTATTATTATTGTATAATAAAATACCACCCGCGCCCCAAGGAATAACAGACAACATGTTACTTACATAAACTATCGACACATTTTTCTAATCGATTCTATAACATTCAAAACCTAATAATTTCAATCAATACTTTTACAATGATAATAATAATAATAATAATAATAATAATAATAATAATAATACTTTCATTGAGTTATAAATTAAACTTTCAAGGAAATGATATTTATTATTTTACAAACGGAAATGATGATAATAATAATAATAATAATAATAATCGATTGCATTTTTATATTATTATATTATTAAATAATAATAATGTAAAAATTACAAACATACACAGAAATTGATTTTATAATAATAATAATAATAATAATAATAATAATCAATAAGAAAATTATCGATCGAAAGGTAAAAAATTGCATAAAAAATTATTTTTAATAAACTTGAACTTAAAAAATAAATAAATAAATGAATAAATACATAAAATAATTTATAATAAAAAAATTTGTAAAAAAATTGATTTTCTCTCTCTCTCTCTCTCTTTCTCCTTACAATAATAATTTAACAATCGCGTTATTTCTATTTCTCTCTCTCTTTTTCTCTTTAGAATAATTTACCTTTAGCGTAATTTCTCTCTCTCTCTCTTTTTGCCTTTTTCCCCTCACAATTTTCTACCTGTCGCGTAATTTTCCTCTCTCTCTCTCTCTTTCTTCCTTTTTACAATAATCTACCTTCCGCGTATTTTTTTCCTCTCTCTCTCTCTCTCTGCCTTTTTCCCCTTACGATAATCTACCTGTTGCGTAATTTTCTTCTCTCTCTCTCTTTCTCACTCTCTCTTTTTCTCCTTACAATAATTTAACAGTCTCGTAATTTTTCTCTCTTTCTCTCCCCCTCTCTCGTTATCAAATGGAAATATACCTGTTTTATGACGTCATTCATATTTTTTTTCA